CAAAAGGAATCTCATGAGGTTCAACAAGGACAAGTGCAAAGTCCTGTACATAGGACAGAACAATCCCATGCACCAGTACAGGCTGGGGGCAACTGGCTGGGCAGCAGCTCTGTAGAAAAGGACCTGGGGGTCATTACAGTGAACAATAAGCTGAATATAAGCTAGCAGTGTGCCCTTGTTGCCACGAAGGCTAACGGCATACTGGGCTGCATTGGTAGGAGTGTTGCTAGTAGGTCCAGGAAAGTGATTTCCCTCTATTCAGCACTGGTGAGGCCCCATCTGGAGTACTGTGGTCAGTTTTGGGCCCCCCACTACTGAAAGGATGTGGACAAATTGGAGAGAGTCCAGCAGAAGGCAACAAAAATAGTGAGGAGGCTGGTGGACGTGACTTCTGAGGAGAGGCTGAGGGAACTGGGCTTGTTTAGTCTAGAGAAGAGGAGCCTGAAGGAGAATTAATAGCAGCCTTCAACTACCTGAAGAGGGTTCGAAAAAGGATGGAGCTAGATGACAGAACAAGGAGCAATGGTCTCAAGTTGTAGCAAGGGAAGTTTAGGTTAGATATTAGGAAGGATTTTCTCACTTGGAGGTTTTTAGGACCTGGCTAGACAAAGCTTTGGCTGGGATGATCTAGCTGGGGATGGACCTGCTTTGAGCAGGGGGTTGGACTAGATGACCTCCTGAGGTCCCTTCCTACCCTAACTTTATATGATTCTGTGATTCAGCCTGGGGCTACCCTCCCTCTGCATTGGGGACTATCTCAGACCCAAAGGGAACCCAGGGCCCTCTCCTGGTGTGGGAGGTGCTGCCTCTCCTAGGAGAGACACAATATCACCTCCCCAACAGTAGGTAGGCACTGCCATTTCCATGACCATGACTGAAAGGCTCCTCAGACTGTTAACCCCAGCAATTTCACACTCGGCTTCCCTTAAACTTCCTCAGAAATATCAGCATAGTACAGGGGACTATGGCGTCACCTCTCCTAACCTGTGGGAAGGCATTCACATGGCTGCTGGCTGGTTCAGCAGCAGATGAAGGCATTCATGGGCCAACTTGGCGATCGGTGGGAGACAACCCTGAGCAGGGCAGGCTGCAGGGGGAGGGATGAGTGTGAGACCAGTAAGTGTGTGTGTGTGACCTCTGTGTGTGTGCATGTGACCAGTGAATGTGTGCGCGACTAGTGTGACCCGTGTATGACCAGCTGGCAGCGGAGGCAGGTCGGAGCCCCCCGGGGGGGAAGGGAAGAGGCGGCCCCTGCCGCGACCTGCCGCCCCGAGCCGGGGCCGGGATTGCATCAGCGGGGCAGGGCGGGGAGGCGCCGCCCCGGGGCCGG